TTGCATATTCCTGAAGATTAGTTGAACTTTCTTGTGTCTTTAGGGTTTTTGCCTCTTAACGAAGATTTACAAATGTCTTCTCCCATTTGAGGGCCATCCCTCTGTTGATGGCTTCATCTTTGGTGTGAGAGATTTTGATCACACTGTAGTCCATACATGTTTATTTTTGCTTTTGTCAGCTAATTTTCAGGATGAGTGCCATAAAAATATCACCTGTTTTAATGTTTCCCTCTAGGAGCTTTAAGGTTTTAGGTCTTGTGTTCACGTTTAAGCCCACTCCAAGCTGGTGTTTATCTGTGCTAGAAGAGATGGGCCTGGCTTCATTCTTTTGTGTGAGAATATCCAGTTTTTCTCAGAACCATTAATTAAAGAGATCGTCCATTCTCTGTGGATTTTGTTGGTTCCTTGTCAAAATTATCTGGCTGTATATTATTAGGCTTATTTCTTGGCATTCCATGTGTCCCAATAGCCCATGAGTCAGTTTTTATGCAAGTACCACATCATTGTGATGACTATAGCTTGCACAATCAGCTTTAAAAAAAACAAACACTTGCATTTCTTCGCATGAATATGGCCCAGGATACCTATTCTCTCTCTCTCTCTCTCTCTCTCTCTCTCTCTCTCTCTCTCTCTCTCTCTCTCTCTCTCTCTCTCTCTCTCTCTCACACACACACACACACACACAAATATAAATAAATGTAATTTTAAAAGAAACCCATTCTTCAGTGTCCCTGTGATTATGGCCACCTATGAGAATCCCAGCACCTAAACAGAAGAAGACAGAGGCATGGTGAAGAGTATATATTTCTGATTAAGGAAATTTGTCTAATCCTCAAGGCATATCCTATCTGTGACTAGTTAGTACTGTAAGATTCTAGAAGGCAGTACTGTAAGATTCTATAAGGCAGTGCTGTAAAACAAGGTGCTACTGTAAGATTTAGAGGGTGGTACTGTAAGATTCTAGAAGGCAGTATTACAAGATTCTAGAAGGCAGTGCTTGGCACAGGGGCTGAGGGTGCCTGAGTGAGGCCAGTGGTTCTTAGCTACTGCAGTAAACAGCATTCCACGGTTATTTTGGGTCTGTTTAGCTTTCTGAAAGCTTGTTATTGCTTGCGTAATTTTTGCCCCATGTATTGGTAGTCAGAGCACATATCCCTGTATCCTAACTATTAAGCTTTGGGACATTTAAAATACAAATTCCATCCTGACATGACATCCTTTCCAAGTTTCAAAACATAACTACCCAGCACTAAAAGCATTTATTCCCAGAAACATGGGCTTTTAAGATCGTAATTTAAGGGCTGACACTGGAAAGAGGCAAAAAACCCCAGTCTATACCGTTTTGAGCTTGCTTGTCCATAGACTGACTCATCCTAAGGAGGTTGTAAAATTAATAGTAACAGAAGTGATGAGAATTCTCTGAAGGAAGCAACCGCAAGCCATGGTTTACAAATCCCTGTTCAAAAGTAGACCCTTGAGTCTCCATTGCCAGAAATTTGGACTTAATCTATTCTGAGGCAAAGCTCAAGAATTCTTATTGCTGAGTTCCAGTAAGTACCCCACTTCCCATCATGGTGCTGAGCAAACCTTTTCTTTTTTAAAACTTAAAAAAATGCTTATTTTGTATGTGTGTATGTAGAGGTCAGCCAGAGGACAACTTGCTGGAGTCTGTTTTTCCTTTCCGCCATGTGGATTCTGGGGATCCAACTTAGGTCATCAGGCTTGCATACACACTAAGAAAGCATTTGTTTTCTTTCGGGATGTACCATGAGGAAAAGCTGACCCAGAATCTAGTTCCCTTGTTTGTCAAGATGGAAAGAATGTGATCATGTCTATTAGGGTAAAAGACTACATATAAATGGATAGTTAGCTCAGTGGGTGCTCTGAATTTGAATTCTCAGGACACATGTAAGCCAGGCAGGGTTGCGTTTCTGCAGGAAGACGGGAAACAGACAGGAGACTCTATGGAGGCTTGCAGGCCAGCTTCCTGGCATACACAGCTTCAAGCAACCAGGAGACCCTGTCTTAAATGAAGTGGAAGGTGAGGACTTATACCCAAGGTTTCCCTCTGACCTCCACAGACACTCTGTTGTATCTACCTACATGCACACATAGGAACATACATGTACACATTGGAACATGTGCACACATCACATACACAGAAATATAATATAAGGTTCAAGGAAAGATGTGGAGACTTGATGAAAAGTAACACCAGATGTCACATATCATAAATCCATCACCAAAGACACCGGTTGTCTGGTACCCAAACTCATTATTTTCTCCAAACCCATGCCCCACACTTCCCACAAAGCTTCAAAGGCACTTATACATGTATTGTTCTATCTTTGCTGTTAATGCTGTTACTAAAATTAAACTAACAGAGCTGTCCCAACAGTAATTCTATCACAGACTTAACTGTAGATCCTCATCTGGTAATGAAGTAATCAAAAGATTCAAGATTTTACATATTACTCTGTTTCATTGTATACTTTAGATGAGCTGCTGGAAAAGACTGTTGTGTGTAGCAAGGTCTTCAGGAGCACTGAGTGGGTTAATGGAAACAGGCTTAGTGGTATTGTATACACTCTGAGAGCAGCATGGAGAGAGACCATCTTTTCATTTCAGTTAACAGTGAGATAATTCTTCAACAAAACCCGTGAGGAACACTTTTTTTTTATGAGACAGGGTTTCTCTGTATTGTTTTGGAGGCTACTGGTCCAGCCCGGCCTTGAACTCACAGAGATCCGCCTGCCTCTGCCTCCCGAGTGCTGGGATTAAAGGCGTGTGCCACCACCACCCAGCTGGGAGGACTTTTTAAAAAGAAGTGAGTCTTTAGTAGTTGGAGAGATGACTCAGACACTAAGAGCATGGGTTGCTCTTTCCCAGCACCCACATTCCAGATCATAACCAGTTGTAACTCCAGTTCCATGGGGATGTGTTACTCCATTCTGGCCTTCAGCAATATTGCACACACGTGGTGTATATAGATAAACAGGCAAAACATTCATGCACATAAAATAAAATGAAAAAAATTAATAAGTCTTTGTTGTTAATCTTGGATAACTTCAACAATAATTTCGATGTATCTTTTTAAACCTTCTATTCTGAAATCATTTTGAATTACAAAAAATAGTACACCAGCAGTTGGGTCAGTCATTGACTCTCTTTGTTTGGGTGTTAACCAGTTTGAAACCATTTTCGAATAAGTAAGGAATGCTCATGTATTAGTCACTTTCTCTTCCCAGTGGTAAAATGATTTACAAAGAGGAGAGACTCCTTTTGGCTTGATGTTTTAGGGATTTTAGCCCACGGTTTCTTGACCCATACTTCAAGCTGCCATTATGGGGGAAACTGGAAACTGTGTACCTGTGGCACTGGGAAATAGACAGCAGAGGGAAGCAGGCTTCCCACCAGCCCTTTAGTGGCAGACCTCCAAAGATCCAGCTTCCTTCTCCCGGATCCCACTTTTGCCTTAAGGGGCTCTTCACCTGCCTGCCTGTAGAACACGCGGGGCTCCTGGGCACCTCTAAGTTACACCCATTGATGTCTTCATACTTCAGAGTATACTTCTGATGCCTTCTTAGCATGGCTAGATCACAGACTTTACATAAGGAGATGACACACACCTATCCATTCTCTGGAACCTGCAGACTGTTGAAATCCCACTGTCAGCAGTGTCATTTACAGATGTTGGATCCTACCCAAGATCATCTGCTGAGTTAGTAGCTTTGTCCTCTGGCCTCTTTCAATCTGGAGTCATCTTTAACAACCTGGCATTTTATAAGAATTTCTCTAGATTTGCCTTTATCTGATGGTCTTCATTATTTACATATTTATGGATACTAATATTGACAAATACACATATTGCCAAGGAAACTTTAAATGACCAAATTTGGACCCATGAAGACGAAAGAGTCCAGATCATTCATTCATTCATCCTTAATGACTCCAGTAATTTCAAGTTTTTTCCTGTGACATAATACATTAAAGTATAAATTACTGATTATTGATGTTTATAGCATTGATATATACATTATATTATATATAACGCTTCAGTACCAACCACCGTGTTCCATCTCCACCTACAGCTTCCTAAAATAATTTGAGATAGGCTTTCATGTAGCTCATTCGAACTCCCTATATAGTCAAAGATAGCCTTGAACTTCTGATCCTCCTGCCTTCACCTCCTGAGTGCTTGGATTGTAGTGGCTGCCCTGTCACTTGAGTTTGACTCAATGCTGGGGATCAAATTCTATCAAATTCTTAGTTCACTGTACTAAGTGAGTTTCATCTGCATCGCACCCAGCCTCCTAAGTAACCGAACATCACATTTCAGATCTCCCACGTTGAAGTTGTCCATTCAAGTTACCCCTGGGCATTTGAATGTCAACTTTTCTTTTCTTGTGCAAGGATATTTGCATAGTTCTCCTTTGTAGTGCTTCAAGATAGTATAAACCACAAAGCACTCCCGGTGCTTCGTGTGGCATAAACGTGGAATTAATAAAACGACGAGGTTAGCAACAATCTCTCTGAGAAGCACAGCGGCTCATTTTAATTTAGAGGGCGCCAGTCCCTCGTCAGTGAGTAATTCAAAAGCTACCGGGGGGGCACAGCACCCCAGGCCAGAATCGCGAGCACCTTGGCGCCACTAAAGTTTCAGTACCCGGTCAGCCTAGCAGCGAGGAGAGTAGCAGCCGAGGACCCTTGGCTAGCTTGAGGCAGTCCCTTAGCTTTTCTAGGCAGCTGTTCTGTTGCCAGGAATCTGCAGATTTTTTTCCCCCTCGCTGCACAGAGCCTGATCCGCACCTCGGGCGGCGCTAGGACAGGTGAGCCTGGCGGCGGCGCCCTAGAGACACGCTCAGGTGCCAGGGACCGGCTTACAGCGCGTGGCTCAGGCCAGGTGCGGGCGCCCAGGTGCGTGGCGCGGGGCTGCAGCTGCTCTGGGTGCCCGACAGCGGGCGCCGCTGCGGCAGCGGCCGAGCTGAGCGCTTGGGCTGCGCGACTCCGGGCAGTTCCTTGGCGATAGGCCCCTCTGGGTGGCCAAGAGCTCCGCCCGGAGGCGCCCCGGGGTCCCTGTTGCTTCGGTCGCCAAGGGGGGCGGATCCGGTCCGGGCCAGAGAGGGGCTAGGGAGACACCCCAAAAGCCCCGCGCCCTGGCACCATGCGACTCGCCGCGCCTCCTCCTGAGTCTGGGGCTGTCCAGTCTGCTCGCTGAGCCCCCTGCGGTCGCCACCGCGGAGGGAGAGTGGCACCGAGGAGGAGGAGGCGGCACCCGGGAGAGCAGCGTCCGGACGGATTCCGCCGCCCCCCCCGCCCCCCGCCCCCGAGAGCTGACGGCTCCCGGGATCCCCAGCCTTATCATGCTCGGGGCGCCAGCCCGGCTTTAGGAGAAACTGAGACGCCAGAGCGAGTCGGAGCAATTCTTTGGTTGCTAAGGTAATTGTAGTTAGACAAAACGGGACAAGAAGAGAATCGGGGAAAGGGAATGGAAACCGCACCCGCGCCGGGATCTGTGTGGCTTGCATCCCTCGGGGGGGTGGGCGCTTGTCCATTTCGGATGCATGACAGGTGCGGGTGTGTGTCTGCAGTTTGGGACTGTGCGAGGCGAGCTTATGTAAGTGACTTGGCGAGCTGGCGTGCGGACTTGAGTGGGATGGGTGCAGGTCTGCTTGGAAATCGCCTTCCTGGCTTCGGGGTGGGACGCGCTCCGCGCCTGGGCCTGGAGGGCGTGAAGGTTCGGCGGCTTTCTGTTCTTCCCAGCCATCCGGTTCCGAGAGAGCGCAGGTGGGGAAGTCTACCTTCAGCAACTTTTCCTGTGAATAAGCTCCTGGTTTGTGGGTTGGAAGGGTGAGGCTTGATGGTGAGGTGAGGCAGGCAGGGGAGGCTGGTGAGGTTTGTGGCTTGGGAATTGCCTTTGCAGACAGTAGTAGCCTTTCTGGGCCGGTCTGGCTGCTTAAAAAGTGAGATGAGGAAAGTGACCCAGAAATTTTAAATGTGTTCAGCAAGGAAAGCGGCGGATTTTCATCCTTTTTTTAAATTTGACAAAGTGGGAGAGTTTTCTCCCTCGTTGAGACAAATGGCATTTCTAGTCTGCAAATAAATTGAAGATGTTTTGAATATCGTTGGTTTGGAATTATTCCCTCAGCATCGGTGCCTGCCTGTTTAGGAACTGGACCTGTAGGTAAGTTCTGACCAATACTCTTTAGCAGCCCCAAAGCAAAACTTCAAAGACAACCAGGAGGAAGTAATTATTAGACCCTTTTCTTTCCAGGGAGGATGGAGACTAGGTAACTGGGCTGGTGTGTATCAGTGTGTACAGAATGGTTGCAAGTTTACGAGTGATACGTCAAGGTTACAAGGCTCTTACAGAACAATTTTTTTTTTTTACAAGCAGGTAGGTGGGTGATTGTGTGGAGTTGGATCTGGGCGGCCAGGAAAGTTTCAGTGCCTCCTATATCCTTTAACCTTGCTCCTAACTTACTAACTTGGTATTAGATGGGACTAGCCCATCAAAGAGGAGGACAGAGACAGTTACCACAGTCACCTTTGTAAGCCAAAGCCTTGCTAGCCAGCACCAGGAGAGCCAAGAGGATATATTGAGTTCTCTGACACCAGTGTAAAGCTAAATCATGTAGATTCCGAGGTGATCTTGTGTACTGCAAGCTCCAGGATGGGGAAAACCTCCTCCCAACTCCTCCTTTCCGGAAAGCAGCTCCAGAGTTTAGAAACGTCAGCCATTGGGAGGTATTTTGGCGGAGGAGATAGCTTTTGGTGTTTCTCTTTCCGTAGTCTTTCTATTGGCTCTTAACTTTACTCCCCATTCTCCTTGTGGAATTTCAGCTAACATTCACTGGGTTCATTCTGCTGAGAGACTTTCAGTGAAGAAGTGTACTTTTTTCTTTGAAGCCATCAGTTTGTCACATCAAATGTGACAGGGCAAGGATGCCTGTGTGGCTGCAATGTCTCTTTAAAGGAGACTTATTTGTTTATGGTGTATGAAATCATATATTCAACATAAATATTTTTAAATGAGCAAACATTACTCACAGGGGGAAAAAAGGATGCATCGGATAATGGAATTTGCCAGTAATTTTCAACATCTTGCCATCCCAGAGGGATGGAAGTGTAGGAGAACGTAGGATCCTTCTGGTCCCTGTGCCTCTGGTTTTCTCCCATATGTTTTTATTTCCTGAACTCTAAGACTTTGCCAGGAACTGCTGCACATTCCAGGGGTTAAAAATGGAGATGAGGAAGAAGCTGTTTGCCACATCATTTTTTTTTCCTCTCAGAGGGCTCAATGCTGGGATTATTTTTTCCTTTAGCTCCACAGCTCATCTTAATTCTTAGTGCTTTGTACGTAGGAATGCATTTAACCTCCTCATTTATTTTCAGGGCAGCCGGAAGAATGTATTTAATGAATTCCATCTTCATTGTAACATATGGTGCCGTATAAATAATTACTATACATACTGCCCTGCTGTATAGAAAGAGATAGAAATGCGCAATAAACTTTCATGTAGATTGATATGGATAGGAATGATATGGATGGCAAAAAAATAAAACAGTTTTACTTTCCCTCTTGATTAGATGAGTAATGTTTATCTATTGGAAACAATTTGGTGAAAAGAAAGACTCTTTGCAATGCCCCACAGAAGGTGACACAGCTGTTGACATTTTTTGAAACTACATTCTTCCAGATGTTAAGCCTGTTAAGTCTTCACCGAGCTCCCTCCCTACCCCCCCGATTTTCAAATCTTATAAACAGAACTTATATTTTGTCAACGGCTTGGGAAATAACTGCCAATATCCTAGGCAATTTCAATAGATGAGGTTATAATTTTCACTCAAGGTCCTTGTTTTCAAAGACAGTCAGCTGTTTGTTTCTCTACCCCTTGGAAGCCAGTGTCTCTGCTCCCAGCTGGGAAAACCTGGGGTTCCCCTACAGATTTAGGCGGTAAAGCAGCAGAAAAGATGTTGACCATTCTGGTGGAACACCTGAGTTGTGGCTGCAGTTTATCTGTCAGCTCCTCTGGAAGGGCAGGGGACACCTTCAGGTTTAGGTCTGGGAGCTTATGGCTTGTGTGCTGCCTTGACATTTGATGAGGGTGATCTTTGTTTGAAGAGGGATTATTCAAACAGACAGCTGGGGCTCATCCCCCCTCACCCCAGAGGCTCTGATTCATTCCACCTGGAGCTAGCCTGAGAATTTACATTTTTTAACAAATCTCTGACTCTGCTGACCATATGAGACCTGGGAAGATAACCCCTTTTGAAGCCAGAGTCTCTCTTTGCCCCCAGCAACCAGGTTCCTGGTACTTGCCTGCCATGTTGTTTCCATCAGGTGTTCAGGGAACACTGGCTGAATCAATATTATTTTCTCCATGGGAGGAAAGCTTTCTAAAGTAGTCAAGATAGAGAATAAACACTCAGAATTTAGGACCATGGAGTTTGTAGTAAGAGTAATTATTAGTCATGCAACCCAGTTCTTCAAACAGCAGGGAATGGAAGACTGCTTACACATAAGCAATTAAACTGAACAGTAACCTTAATGATTTGAATTAAATAACTAGGAATACAGGCCTGAGACACTGTAAACCATGAACCAAATTCCTCTCAGCTACATTCTAGAGTTCTGTAAGAGGCAATTCATTTTCTGCCACATAGTTGACCCTCCAAATTTATGAGTTCCTCATCTGCCCGTTCAACCAACTGCTCATCAAAATTATTCAGAAAAGAATGTATTGGTGCTGAACATGGACAGCCCCATTCATTATTCCTGTGATGGTGAATTTTACTCTTCAACTTGACACAACCTAGAATTACCTGGAAAGAGAGTCTCAATGGGGGATTAGATAGACCAGGTTGGTCTATGGCAGTGGTTCTCAACCTTCCTTTTAACACAGTTCCTCATGTTACAATGACTCCCCCAACCATAAAATCATTTTCATCGCATTTCATAACTCTAATTTTGCCACTGCTATGAATCATAATGTAAGTACTGATAGGTGACCCTTGTGAAAAGGCCATTTGACCCCCAAAGGGGTAGTGAGACACAGGTTGAGAACCATTGGTCTATGAGCATGTCTTTGTGGCACACGTGCTTCTCCCCACAACATACCTGGTAAATAAAACTGTAATTAAAAATAAAAAAGAAGATAGACATCAACTTCATAGTGATTAGAAGAAAGTACGTGACACCAACTTCTGACTTCCACATGGGCACATGTGTATGCTCACACCCATGTGTGCATGTTACACACACACACACACACACACACACACACACACACACACACACACACACACAGAGGTTTAAAAACCATAAATACCCGATTGGGCAAATGAGTCAGTCTTCTAACTGTGGTTATTAAAATTAATTGCTATGGAGACATCTTGACTTCTCTAGATACCTGGTAAAAAGCCACCTTTAATTTGAACCATGCAGGAGAGTTGTCTTATTCTCTGGCATTTGATACCCTGAGAGGCTATGTTCTTGCTAAAGTGGTTCACAAATCCTGCTGGGATGAGGTCTCCTGCAGGAATGTGAAGCAGTAGTGGAATTCTCTGGAAGTTCCCAAGACACCAGTGTTGCTTTCACCGTGACCAGGCTGGCCCAGAGCCCAGACAGAGAACCACTGCTGTTTGCTCTGACAGAAGTACCAGAGGCACCTCACAGCCTTTGAATTGTATTTTTGAACTTCAATTTTTTCATCTGTAAAAGAAGCGCAACAACTCCACCCCCTGAGTGGGTGAGACCGGTGGCACAGGATTGTGTACAAATCTGGGTGAGAAGTGTGAGAAGATGGATCCATTACACAGCCACACATCCCTGACTGGCTTTTTGTCAACTTGACCCAGCTACAACAATCTGGGAAGAGGGACCCCAGTTTATAAGATGCGTCCACCAGATTGACTATAGGCAAGTGTGTAGGACATTTGTTTTGTTAATGATTAATGTGGAGGGTGGGTCTAGCTTGTTGTAATCTGTATGGAGGTAGTCCTAGGTTTTATAAGAAAAAAGATTGAGTTGGTCATGAAGAGCAAGCCTCTAAGCAGCACCCCTTCATGGTCTCCTACCTCCAGGGTCCTGCCCTGTTTGAGTTCCTGCTCTGACTTCCTTTGATGATGGACTGTTGTTTCCTCCCCAGATTGCTTTTGGTTTTGTTGTTTTATCACAGCAATAGAAATCATAACTAAGGCAGGTATTTTATAATATTGTGTGTGTGTGTGTGTGTGTGTGTGTGTGTGTGTGTGTGTGTTATTGGTGATCAAATCCAGGGCCTTTTCATACTAGGCAATCACTCTGCCTTTTCCTAATTTTTAGTTTCAAACAGGATCTTGTTAAGTTACCGAGGCTGGCCTTGGATTCACTCTGTAGCTTAGGCAGGCCTTGAACTTTTGGATCTTCTTCCTCAGCCTCCTGAGGCTGGGATTAT